TTCCTCGCATAGCGGCCACTCTTCGGATCGCTGGTCGAGCGACCCGGGGGATGCCCCGCGCGCCTGACCCAGGCGCGAGAAACGAATCTGCGAGGCGAGGCCGCTCACGCGGCCCGATGGGGAGGAACGGGGCGAGCCCCCTCCAACCCACCCGCGCTAGGTCTCGGGGGACGAAGGGGTCACACCCGACGACCTCGGGAACTAGCCGGGGCAGTCGGAGAAGTGGCAACTCCGTCCGTCCGTGCACTGACGGTCGGCCGCCAGAAAACACGCCTCCGTGGCTCGGGTTACACCAATCCTCGCTACCCAACGCGGCCAAAGGATATCCACCTCGAGAACCTCGAGAACACACACCCACCACCTCCTGTGTGTCGGGGGAGAAGTTTACCTAGAGTACCGCGTACCTTACCTAGAGTAAGTCCTAACCTTACCTTACCCTCGCCCCCCCCTCCCCCCCCGCCCGCCCGCAGGAGGTTTTCGAGTAGTTGATTTGTGTGCAGTGTGTGCGACGCTGCACGCGTCGTAGAACAACTGCTATTACAACTCCACCGCCGGACCACTACCTGTTGCCCGCCCTAAGTGTCCGCGGCGCGCCTTTTTCGGCCTCGCTTCCTGGGCGCTCCGCCGGCGGCGCGGCGCTTGGTCCGGCTGGGCGCCTCCTCCGGCGCGTCCGCCGCGAGCGAGTCGCAGCCGAGCTCCCGCCAGCGCGGCTCGAGCGGCGCCGGAAGGCCGCCCCACGAGACTCCCGGCTGGACAGCGTACTCCCTCCTACGGCCGCACGAGTGTGGACGCGTCATGGACGCGTCATGGCCGCAGCACATCGCGGGGCCTGAGCAGCAGCGGCGTGGCGCGCTCCTCAAGCGCGCGCACTCTGCGCGCGGCGGCAGCGGCGGCGGCGTGTCCGTGTAGCCGGCGCCGGCCGGCGAGCACGCGGCCGGCTGGTGCGCCTACAGGAAGGTTCCGAGAAGGCTCCGGGAAAGTGCGTCGTCAGGCGGCGCGCGCGCGGCAGCGGCAGCTTCGCCGCAAGGAGCATCTCGGCTGATCTCGGCTGATCTCGGCTACTCTCGGCTGATCTCGGCAAATCTCGGCTACTCTCGGCTACTCTCGCCGCGAGGAGCATCTCGACGTCGACGCGGCGCGGCGTGCCGTCCTGGTCGAAGACCTACCCGACGTGAGATGGGGGGAGAGATGTGGGGGGGTGCGAACAGGTGGGCAGAGAGGAAAATCCAAGACCTGCCCGACGTGGGCGCCGGGGGGATCCCGGGGGACAGGTTACGCCCGCCCTGCCGGATATACTCCTCAAGAAAAC